TTTTGATGGTTTTCCCTTTTCTCCGAAGTGCCTTATTCTGAAGGTAGAAGTGTACTTATCATTGACAAGTTGGACAGATTTTCCTTCATTTGGCAGTCCTAGAATCTGACTCACTGCATTGCCTGTGATCTTGAATGCTTCGGTGCCAAATTTGAAGGACTTTGTATCCGAATCAAATTTCTTGAGCAGCTGTACTAAGTCAAGGTTTGACTTATTCATGTTATTCATGTCGATTCTCTGGTTCTAAAACAGCTCAATCAAGTTCCAGAATGGGGTATTCTTGAGAAGCTTCTTCTGCCTTTCATTGAGCTTGTCTTTTACATCCGTAATGATGCTGTTGAAAGCGTTGCAATTGCACCGAAATTGGACATAGTCTGGGTGCTTTGCTTTCCGATCATAGTTTGGCTTTGACTTTGGCTTTGGTTTACTCTTTTGAGCCATCATTTTGAATCTTCGCTTTGGTTGGTTTTGAGCTTCCTCCTTTTGTGGTGACATTTCTTGTGCCATTTGTGATCTGCAACAAGAAGGGATGAAAATACTATTAGGACAAGTAGAGATAAACTACAAGCAAACAGAAACTGCAATGCAGTTTGTGGTTCACTGCAATGCAGTTTGTCTTTCACTAAAATGCAAAAAACAGAATATACCAGGAAATATGCATCAACTTGACATGAAATTGAAAGATCAGCATAGCCAAAACAAGAAATACAAAACATAACAGAAACTACAGAACAACATGACGTGAAATGGAAAGAAGTATAAATAATTTAGCAGAAACTACAATGCAGTTTCTGTTTTGTTCAGTGCAGAAAACAGTTTTGATGCTCTTTTTCTTTCTTTTGTGATTTTTCGGTTTTTAGAGGTTTTCAAACCAAAACTAAACCCAAAACCTAAACTACATTGTAGAATGAAGAATGAACAGTAAGTAAATTTCAGAACCCTAAAATCGAAAGCAAATTTGTGTTAGGGGTCATTTTCTTACGATTTTTTCCCCAAGAGAGTGCTAAACCCTTCAATCGTCGTCGTTGCTGGTCGTCGCTCGTCGCTGGTCGCCGTTTCAGATTTTGGGGGAATAGGTTGGAACTGCTGAAAAAGAGAATGAAGAATCGGCTTCGATCGTTGGTGGTCTTCGACGATGGTCGCACGAATGGGTTGGTGGTCTTCGATGATCGTTGGTGGTCTTCGATGATCGTTGGTGGTCT